AGAAAGATAGGGTGTAATAGGACTTTCTCTCCTCCCACTGCTGCTTTGGTAATTTATCCCTCTCTCTTTCTCTCTTTCCATCCCTTTCTATCTCTCTGTTTCACCCTGTCACCCATCAATCTTTTTCCAATTACCTGTTCTGTCTATCTACAAATCCATCATCATCATTTCCATGGTAACGGGCCGCATCCTCCATTGGCTTCGGCCTATTGTTCAATATAATTGCACGCCAAAAAGCAGTCTTTAAAAGAGGGAAGGGGATACACAGAGAGGCACAGATCTGGATATTGTCTCCGTGCTCAGTGACTAATGTCTCTCCCACATCTCCAAAGAGTCAACTTCAGAGCAGATCATCTGCTTAATTTTGACCATGGCATCCATTCATCAGGCATTTTAGCAGCCATTATGTGTGGATTGGCTTCATCCCAGGCTGATGAAACATTTTCTCTGCCTGTGCAATTGTCAGTTATTGTGAAAATGAGGAAGTATAACTGCCCGTGCAAGGTCAGTGAGGAACAATAGTTATATGTATTTGGTAGAAATAAATGGGAGACACGGCTATCCAAAAATCTATTAAGGTGGTTTTGTTTCATTTAGCGACTTGTAATTATAAGTTAATGGACACGGTTATTCTGAGTGCCTGAGGCTTGTCTTCTTATTTTTCCACATAATTACAAAAGAACCACTTTTTTCACCCAAAGAGCACTAAATTCCTCCCAGCCTCTGAGGTAATACAATCAGTCTACTGACATCAGCACCAAAACTGTCCATGTGTGCCGAGTTCTCTTTCCTTTCTAATATAAGGTACTTTGTCAAGAGTGAAAATGAATCTAATTAAAATGACACAAGGTGGTTTTTCTTTTTCAATCTTTCATTTATTGGATCCATGCATATTATGATACTTGTGAAGAAACAAAATTGATGGCAAGTCTTCATTTGAGGATTGAAATTCTGTTCTTGCTTTAGTTTCTGTGGTATGAGTAAACGGCACTTTTGAACAGCAGATAGTGGTGCGTGTTCAACCGGTTTTCAAGCCATTCATGCCGCACTGCTGGGAACTGGTAGTTTGCATATAAGATGTGGATCCAGCCTGAGTACTCTACAGCGTTCCTGCATTGTGAAACTAATCCATCTGCCAATCCATTTTCTACAGCTTATCCATGTTTGGGTTGTGTGTGTGTGTGTGTGTGGGGGGGGGCGCATTAAAAACAGAGGTGCCCAGACCTCCCTTTCCCTCAGCTCCGGTTGTTCTGAGATGCTTTGTCTCATGCCTGGCATCTCCTCGTGGTTGAATCTGTCGAAAAACACCTCATCTAGGAGTCATCGAGGATACAGATGCCCACACTACATCACCTCAACTCCTCACTCTCTCCCTAAAGATGAGCCAAGACGGCCTTCAGGGAAACATTTATGACTGCTTATTCTTTCAGTCACTCCAGCTTATGGCCACAGGTGTTGGTGGTAGCGGGGATCTACCAGTAAACCAACAGCTTTGAATTAACACTCGGCTCTTTACCTCAAAGGGCTCCTTAAGCATCGATTTCACTAGAGATGTTGCACTAAACCATCTGCTAATAAAGAAGAGTTCCACTCTTCTCACCCCTCCACTTGCGGACAAGATCCCAAGTTACCTCCACTTCTCCACCTGGGGAATGAAAAGCTGATGGCATCAATACTTGATGTTGCGTCTCCTTTGTAAAGAGCAGCAACACCTGGTAGGTATTTTCTTATACAAGTACATTATGAAACATTTCAGCAACTCAGGAAGTAAACGTCCGTGTCTGATCTTGAACGTTTAAAAAAAAAGGCAGCCACACCTAACCTGAAAGGGTTTTTCTACACTCCAAGTTCACAGAGCTCGATGAAATTCAGCTTTGTCTGTTTTGTGCAAATATCCAAAACTCAAATCAAAGCATCCTTCAAGCATTGAAACAGAATCGGCTTCAAATCTAAGCATTTATGCACTCATGTACCCCCAATCATGGAAAAAATCAATCTGCATCAGACCCACATTGATCATGAGGACCACTGCAGAATCTGAAAGGGTTATCTAATGTGTCATTTTTTTGTATTTTCATTGTAATTCTGCAGGGCTTGTTATTCACTGGGGAAGCTGATAGAACTACATCTCTGTGTGCATCTTTGTTGAGTAACTCTGGCACGTTCTCTTCCGTAAAGCATTTTGCATTTCGGTCACAATAACTCATGAGAGACATGTATGCATTCAATGAGAAACGTCCCAAATCTCATCCTTCTCAAACTATACATGTTGTATAGCTATTGGCATAAAGAGATCGGTCAGAGGAAGAATGACTAAAGACTCAACAACATGAAAGCGAGCAGCGATGGAAACAATGTGCTTACAGTGATCATTGTAAAAGTGAATAAAAGCATGTGTCTGCCAAAGGTTACGAGAAAATGGCTTCATTTGGCGCTGTTGTGCTGTTGGCTAGACAAGATAAACCAACCTATTGTTGATCTTTGTCACAAGAATATAAATATGTCACATGAAAGGAAAGCTGAAACAAAGAAATAAAAAAAATACAAAGAAAAAAGTCTATTTTAGCCTGTATCTTGTGCCTGTCTTTGCTTTTGCTCATTAAAAACTCTATAAGAGCAACTTTCAAAAGTGGTTTTATCAATACAGCTGCTTCCCTGGATGGCCAGCCTTCGTCACTTACCGAGCTGATAATCTCGCAGGACATATGCACATACTTTTAGTGTGATTCACAGACGTGCAAAACACTCTTAAACAAACAAGGGAGATGTCAGAGGTCAAAACCTGACTGCATCCAACTGTTACTTTTTCTTGTCTCATATCAGACATTCAGAATTCAGAAAAATGTAGCTAATTTTGGCTGATCCTTTATTCACAACAGCAGGTAGCCGAGCATATTTTATTTGGCAGATTTTTTTAAGCAACTCTCAAGCGATTCATGTCTCCCCCACAGGGGAGTGCTTTGCTTGTGGGGGCAAATGTATAGCCCACGAGACTATAAAGCTCAAGTTAAATATAAATAATATTCACAACGGTGTAAGGCAAAGAGTGGTTTTGTCTAACGTCATACTCATATTTAACATCAGCCATCTGCTACGATCTCACAAGGAACTCCATACACAAAAACAATAACTGCACGAACAGACCCACAACTTCTGCTTAAGGCACAGACAGAAAAATGACAAGAATTCATTCCTGTTATTGTTCTCAAAAATGATGCCGCGATGAAGATATAAGCCCCACTGCATGCCTTTTAAAGTCCTTAACATCCAGGTATATGAGCAGCAGGCTCCATTGTGATGTGAAATGAGCATTAGCCAGAGTATTAGTTTAAACCCTTTGTGTCCTGCTGTGGGAGGCACACTCGCAACTGCATGCTGGACCCATTCAAATGAATGTGTATTTGCTGATCGGCGGTAATTGATATTTATGGGACACATAACACTGTGACTTTAATTAGCAAAATGGCAACTTTGTTATTCATGTGGAGAAGCTGAAATCGCTTTCTCCACTGGTGGAAAATGCTCACATCAAGGAGCGTGCTGTGGTTTGAAAAGAAAGAGTGAAGGAAGAGACTGAACAGTTAATAGTCATGTATTTTCACAGTTATAAGAAACATCAAAGCCAAACTTCAGTGAGTATTACATGTATGTAAGTCATCCATATGACTTATTACTGTTGTTTTATTCTCTTCCTCCATGTGTGTATTTGCAGTCATTTGTATAATTACTGTCTGAAAGCAAGACAGCAGGTTTGGGACATGAGTTTAAGCTATTTTCTTGTCATTGTGCTGATTAATGATGCGCAGCATTCTCTACCTGTAATCAATCCTTCTCTCTCTCTCCCAGCTCTGTTGCTCTCTGTGCCAGCTAAGCTGGATCAAGTCACACAAACTTACCAGGAAAACGACAGGAAATCCAGAGTTTTGAGTTTTAAAATAAAAGACCAAAAGACACTGCATTTTCAAATTCAGAGACAATGTCAGCATCGACTTCTTAACTGAGAATAGGACCAATATTTACCTCTGCAAGCCTTTATACATCCTAGGGGAGCTTTATCTGAGAGGAGAGAAATGAGAGGCAGCTAAGCAAAGTTTCTACAACTCTGGAACACATGCAGAGACAAAAGGGAATGAGGCGCAACTACCAACACATCAGTAGGATGGAATAAAATAACACCAGCAGTGGAGAGTTCAAAGACCTTGAAAGAACTACAGCTTAAAAAGTTTAAAAGAGGCCAGAGAAGCTGAGGAACTAGAAGCACCTAAATCAGGTATCATTACTGACAGTCAGACTGCTACCTCCAAAGCAATCTTCTAATTCTTAAGCATGTGGAAAATTTTTCCATGTTATGAATCAGAAAGAAATAATAAAAGCTTTAGAGGAAAGGCAGCTAGCTAAGTTGAATATTAATGATAAAAGGTATTTGGCTGTCATTGTTTAGTGGTTATATTACATCAGTAAATGTGTTATTTAACTTAGTTTTGATAATATACTATAATAACTGATATTAAGGGTAAGTTTATGACACCAGTCTTTGGAACTGATGTGTCAGAATAAGACCTAGATAATTAATACTTTAGATGAATGAATGGCATGTGTGCAACGAACTTTCAGGTCTTGACCTGATGTCACTTTGGGAAATCAGAATGACAAACATGAGTTAAGCTAAACAAAGCTGAATTTGCCAAAATTGCTTTTACAGCCGCTATCTGATGGATAGACAGATCCAGGCATCCCCTCACCGTTTGTGACATTTTAATCTAAATATGAGCTCATTGTGGTATTTTTCACCTGGAAAGTAGGCGTAAAAGACCTTGAGAAATGTCTCATTGATATCAGATCACAAGAGCCTAATTTTGATGGAAATTCACAGCATCAGGTCCGTGTTATGACTTAAATGGGCAGATTCTCTCGTTTGCGTACGTGTTTTATTTTGACAGCTGTGACCGGAAGGTCTGCCTGGAATACTTGCTAGTTTGACACGAGCCCCTATTTAGAGTGCTCTGGGAGCACAGAGAGCTTAGTGTGTGTATGTGTGTGTGAGAGTTGTTGGCTTCCTGCTGCTGCTCGGTGTCCGCACACCGTCCGTCTCGTTAGTGTTGATCGGCTCACCATGGCGGAAGGACGCAGAGAACAGTCGCCTCATCCTCTTCTTTCGGTACCACCGGCCAGCAAGCGACCCTGCCTTCGCCCAGCACCCCGAGGTCCCGGGCCGGGGCCCGGCCACGGCAGCGGGTTGCCCAGCTCCCGGTATCGTTCTCCCGAGTCTCTTCTGGACTGCGCTGCTAAAGCAGTAGCGGAAAAGTGGGCCTTCGAGAGAGTAGAGGAGCGCTTCGAACGGATCCCGGAGCCCGTCCAGCGCCGCATCGTCTACTGGTCTTTCCCCCGCAACGAAAAGGAGATATGCATGTACTCGTCGTTTCAGTGCCGAGTCGCCGGGGAGGAAGGTCCGTCGGCGACTCCCGGTGGGGCTGGGGGTGCTGGTTCCGGAGCTACAACCGCCGGTGGCGGTGGAGGATCTGCCGCCGGTACAACAGCTACCGTTGGGGCAGCCGGGGCAGTGGGGACGGGAGACGGACTGCCTTTCCGTCGGGGTATCAGACTGCTAGAAACCGGTTGTGTGGAAAACGTTTTACAAGTCGGTAAGTGGAATATTTCTGTCTAACCGAAGCAAAAGCTGCCTGGCATAAACACACTGGAGTGTTTTTTTTTCCGAGTCTCCGCTGCGGCTGCTCTTGGACCTTTTACGGCGGATGATTGATGGAAGTTTTTGCTGCTGTCGCGGAAAGTATGCAAAGCGCCTCTTTTCAGCGCACATAAAACTACACAAACACTTCGTGTTTTTTTACTTCGTTTCAATCGTACTGAGGCATTTGTTGTCGAATTTAACGCTTTTTTGGTTTATGGGACCCAAATGAAAAAGGGAAGCGTAGGAAAAGGGGCGCTTGCTAGGTTAGCCGACCAGCTGCTGTTTAAAAATTAAAGGGCTTCCTATTGCGTTACTCTGTAGCTGTACCGCTGGCTACTGCCACTTTACCCAGCGTTGTTTAGCTTAAAGCTTCAACTTGTCTTTTTTCTTTTCAAAAGAAAAAAAAGCGGAAGCCATGTCTTGGCAACTATGAGCACTTTTCTGCCTCGGCGAGGGTCAGCGTCGACGGCCGGAGGTGGCTGGAGTCGTGAGACAGGCGGAGGAGGAGGGCTTGACAGACGCGGATACAAAAGGACCCAACGTTATAGCGTCTGGGCTTTATCATTTTCCCCCCTCATTCCCTATTGCAGAAGTTTTTTTTTTCTTTTGTTTTTCCTACTCAACGCAACACTGGTTGAGGGTGGCTTAAATAAGGAACAAAGACGGTTATTGGGTCTCTTACTATGATTAATCCAGCGTTAATCCGGGGAAAAAATCCCCCGACTGCTTTTTGTTTATTTGCGGCTGCTGCTCGGACCGGACAAAGAGCTCCGACGCCACCAGCGTGGAATAATAAAAATCCACGTTGGGAGTATTTTTTGTAGTTTCTCTAATTAAAGAGAACCTTAATAGCAGACGCAGTACGGCATTAATTTTCGTTATTACCGATGCCGTTTGCCCGCAGCCTCGCAGTCGCGCGCAACACAAAAGGTTTCCAGTTGAAATGATCGATAAGCGTCTCGCATTGCCAGCGCTGCAGAGAAGGCTGTTTCCAAACAAAGGGCCATTCCGCAAAGCATCCATCTCCACTCAGATCTTTCATAGGTTCTCGTGCACGGCCACGAATTTGAGCTCGAACATTGGCGAAATTGATCCGATGAAGCCGATGGATAATGTTGAAAAAAGTCGTTTATGGTAACTGCAAGGATTTTTCTTAGACCATATGGTGTGAGAGCCACTGAAGCTTGTCTGGGTTTCGTGTTGCTCCAAGGTATGGGGGGGCGGTGAAAGCTACAAACTGTTTGGCTGCTTCTTTTCTTGCTGACTGCTGTATCTAATTGCATTTCATAAATGCTCATTGAACTAAATGAAATCTGAAGCTGGATGCAGTCTGCTTTGATAAGTTTCTTTTTTTTTCTTCCAAAGAGAGTTGAGGACCCAGAGGCTGGTCTCACCTCAGGGATTCGAAGTGTGTGCTTTTGCAAAGACCGCAGTCTTGAGTTAAAGGTGTAAGTTCTGAGTGATGACCTATTTTATCACTTCCTGCCATTACAAACACAACCACTGAGGTGAAAGTCTGGGTAGAAGGGGGTGAAGGGGATCCTGTCAGGTCTACCGTCTGCAGCTACGGAGTACAATTACAGTAACTGTGAATTTTGTTGGTATAAACTTGAGTTTTGAAAGTTCAACAGTCAAAGAGTACATTCCCATAACACAACACCTTACTAAGTCTTACCTGGCTCCATGGCGAATCGTTTCCATCCTCCTCCTCCTCTTACCCAGCCTCCCCCTCCCAAGGTCAGTCAAGGCAGGCAGGCACATGGTTTTGTCTTTCTGTCAACAAAACACAAGACTGGGGCCAAATAGCTGCGTGACATCAAGATAAGACTCGGCTTGCTCGTCACTGTGTGGAGCATGGGAACCGGTAACTGTGGAAGTTTTTTTTTTTTTTTGCTGACTGACTTAACAGGAGTACAATTGTCTTCGGGTTGTTTTTCACAGCTAGGTTTGGATAGGCTGGGCTGGCTCACACACAATAGTTAAGGATCGCATTGCACAGCCGCAAAAAATGTGCAAGTTTCAAGAGCTTGCTTTGGCCCGATGCGTGGCGTGTTTCTAAATGCCACTTATAGTGGTCATACTTGTTTTTTTGTTTTATAGGAAAGGGAGATGGATGTGGCTCATGTATTCTGTAATAGCAACTTGCTGGTGAGTGATTAGGAGCTGCGTGCTGACACATGCATGTTGATGTTGCATGGCTTGGAGGGGAAAAGGGGAGGAGGAAAGGTGTATTGGGGAATTGCAGTCTGGAACTGCTATTCAGTTTCTGAACCGCGTGGTTTGCATATTAATGGTTTAGAACATACTCTGAGCTACTATTTGTACACCAAAACAAAGTAATTCAGTTGGGTGTTTTTTATGTGAAGGGTGAGGCTGTGCTGCAGCCGTGCAGCCTCGTGTCTGCGTTTGACTTTTCTAGAGCTGAGTCAGCTGTTTGCCTGGGTCACCAGATTTGGGCTCTTTTATGGAAATTAAGTGCATTTAAAGCGTAATCTAGTTTTTGTTTTGTTTTTGTTTTTTGAAGCACAGATGTGATGAGCCCACAAGCTAAACCATCACGAGATATGCAGTTTTATTTGTATTTATTGTTTTTGTTGTTGTTGTTCCTCACAGCTATTACAAGCACAGCAGGAGCTCCTATTCCTTTAATCTCCTGCTCATCTTTTGACTTTTTTGCCCCACGTTTCTCAGAATTGGTGCGCCTAGAGCGATCTCTCAAGTCGTTCTTGTGTTCTCAGGTAATAATTATTGGGACACGGCGCTGGGCAATATTCAGCGGACATGGTGTTTTGCTGCTCTCTTGCCTCTAGCTGCTGGGCTTTTATTGCTTTATCAGCTTGCGTAATGTAACGGCCCCTCGACTGATGAGCGCAATAATGAAATGAGGAGAGAAGGGGAGAAAAAAAGGGTCTCTTCAGTTGAAAGTGATAACCTTTATTGCCAAAGACACCCATTGATTGATGCATTGACCATTTAGAAATGAAATGGCTGGTATTGTTCCCTAGTAGCCCCCCCCCCTCCCCCCAAAAGTACACTACAAGTGAAGGGCTTTTGTGGAAGAGCCTCTTTTAATAGTAATAGTGATGGATTGAAGGGACGTGAGCTCATCAACATCTCATTGGCCCATGTGTTTATAATAATGTATTCCTTGCTCCAAGTCATAATTTCAATAATCAAAGCGAAGCATGCTTGTTTTTGTAACCCCCCCTTTCCTACACTGCACAGTCGCCCTGAAGCCCCCATGCCACAGCCTTTATAAAGTCCTCAGAGAGCGGGAGGAAGGGATATAAGTGGAGGGAGGGGAAACGCGCGCGTGTGTGTGTGTGTGTATGTTTGGGAGGGAGGGGGCTTCTTTAGCTTTGAGTCAAGCTTTGGGATTATTGGGTCATGCTTTGTTACCCAGCTGTAGAAAAACTCCTTGTTCACAGAAAGGGGGTGTTTGTGTGGTGTGTATGTGGAAGGGGGGCTGCTTAGTAGTATGTGTGTGCACATTGCTGTCTCCGTGACGTTACATAAAACTGTAATGGGTCTCCGACGCCTTTTCAAGCACCGGTGACTCTGACAAAGCTCGGCAGCAAAGTTGAACAGGATTAAAGTGTAGGGACTGACAGCCAGTGGACTGCAAACCGTTATTGAAGAACCAAAAGTCGATACTTCACAGAAAAGTTGGCTCTGTTTTGTGTTCCTTTACTTGTTCTGTGGTCAGGAAGATGATATTTGTCCGTCACTGTTTAGGCAGCATTTAACCCTTAATATGTCTGTATATGTATGTTTTTTATATATATTTACGTTGTACTTGTCATTGTACAGTTCGTGCTCTTCATTTTGCAGAGTGTGAGTGTCCTGCCAGTATTTCCACAGATGTCATTTCCTGGCAGAATGGCTGTGGGGTTCGTTGTTGTAGAAGAGCTTGCGAGCCTCTGGTGTAAACCTGCTCTTGGATGTCTCAAGAACACGTTGCGATAAAAGACGGGGGTTGGTGAGCTCATCCTTCGCTTGCCTCATCTCCCATCTTTCTTCCAGATTCGAGTCTCAGGCCCCGAGTCCGCTGACACCTCTTGCTTTTCATCTGCCCTTCCACATCTCCATGAGCACTCTGCCTTTACTGTTCTTTTGTTTTTCATAAAACTCCATGTGTTTTCCATTTATCAGGCTCTTTAATCTCTTTTGCAACCCCCCCAATACACACACACACTTTTCTGCAAGTTTTGGGACAAGCTGGAAAGAGTCAGGTATGACTGAGTAAGAAAGAGGTCATACATTTGATGATGATGGCGATGATCTGGGTTTGTGACTCAGCGGTGTTTTTTTCTGCTGTGTCGGGATGTTGACTCATGTTTTGGCTAATCATGAGTAAGCTTTAGACCCCAGTACGTGGAATGATGTGGGATCTGCTAATAGTCCGTCCCAGTGTTGATGACTCTATGTATATTTTCAGTGATTGTGTTCAAATCTAAAACTTCAAATGCTTGCTATAATGTCCTTCACATACTGCTTCCCAGCACTTTTGAGTCTTGTTCTGAGGACATTTCACATTTGTTTTATCCTGTTTTATGCACACTACTGGTTTGACGATTTTAAACTGTTATAAACTTGAAGTTGTTGCTGAAATTCTTTGTCTTATTGTCGCTTGAAAGGACGACTCATTCACCAGCCATATAGGCTTGTGGCATTCTTCCTGCTATGGAAGTTTAAATAAAGTTTTCTCTGCAGACTTTCCCACGGTTGTTTCACTTTTCTTTTCCTTTTCATTCCCACTTTCTGTCCTTTTCTGACCCAGTTTGATGGGATTTATGTCTGGCTATGGTGCTGGTCAGCCAGCATTTAAAGCCTTTAGTTAAACTGTTTTGGGTCATTATCTTGCTGTAACATGAAACCCTGACCAACCAGTCTGTCCTCATTTCTTCTTTTTTGCCCTTTTCTCACCCCTCTCATATCACAGAACATCACCAA